TAGAGCCAGAAATATCAATCAGCAATAAATATAATTAAAAAATAAATAGAGGAAATAATGTAGATATAAAATATTCAAACAGAGAAGTCAAGTAGATTTCATGAGAGAATAGACTGTTTTACAACTTGGGGAAAAAGTAATAAATAAGGCAACCAAAAAAAATGGGTAAACTTCATTAAAATTTTTTAGAAAGCAAAATAACAAAAATTCATTAAACTGTAAAACAAAAAGCAACAGTAAAAAGAATATCTAGAAACAAAATTAATTCAGGACATAAAATTACAGGAAAATAAAAAACCATCGCAAAAAATTAACAGCAAAATGAAAATGATAAATACATTTCTATCTATAATACTGGAAATCAATGGATTAAATGCATCAGTCAAGAGACATAACTAAATAAATATAAGAATATAAGATTTATGAATATGCTGCTTACAAGAAACACAGCTTAGATCCAATGACAAAATGAAAATAAAAATCAGAGGCTAAAAAAATTCTATCAAGCTAGTGGTAATCAAAAAAAGCAGGCGTATCCATAGTAATTGCTGATAAAATAGACTTCAAGACAAAATTCACGAAGGGACAGCTGAAAAAGAGCAGACATAATAAATATTTATTTACTCAATGAAAGACCTTCAAAGCATATTAAGCAAACTCTTGTAGATTTGAAGAGAGAAGTAGACAAAACCCCAATAATCATACAACTACTCATGGCCATTAAGCCAATTCCGACTGACAGTGACCCTAGAGGAGAGGTAAAACTGCCCTTGGGGCTTCCAAACTATAACTGTTTTACAGGAGTAGGATGCCTCATCTTTCTCCCACAGAACAGCTGGTGGCTAACAGTCCAACTTGTAACCACCACACCACCAGGACACGGAAGATGTCAATACACCACTACTGAGAAAGGACAGAACTAGAAAGAAGTTTAACAGAGACACAATCAACATGACCCCATAGACATATACAAAGCATTCCTCACAACAACACAATATATACTTTTTTCTAGCATACCTGGAACATTTCCCAGAATAGATCATGTATGTGGCCATGAAGCTAGTATCAAGAAATTTTAAAACAATGAGATATAGTGAATCATCTCAGATTGCAACGCTATAAAATTAGAAACCATCAAGAGGAAGCAAAAGGGAAACAAATAAAAAAATATAAAAATTGAAAAATACCCTAATAACTACTGGGTAATTGAAGAAATAAGGAAATGAAATGAAATGAGGAAATGAGAATGAAAACCTCTGGTGCAAGCACAAGCAGTATTTTGAGGGCAATTAACAGAAAAGGGGGAAAAGCATGCATCAAAAATGAAGGAAGATCCAAAATCAACACAATAAAAATCTCTAATAATTATAACAAGAACAGCAAAATAAACCTTCAGCTCCTAGAAGAAACAAAATAAAGATTAGAGTAGAAAAAAATGAATAAAAAAAATAGAATCAATAAAGAGGCTGGTTCTCTGAAAGGATTAACAACATTGAAAAATCACTAATAATTGCTTCTCGGCCTTTTGGCAAAGATCAAGTGTATCTGAAAAATCACTAGTAAATATAATAAATGATGCAAATATCATGAATATGAAATGAAATATGCAACATCACAAATGAATCCACTGAACAAAAAAAGATTAATACTATGCTTTAATGCTTCTTCCCTCCCCGCCCCCACTATCATGACCCCAGTTCTACCTTACGAATCTGACTAGACCAGAGCATATACACGGGTACAGATAAGAGCTGGAAACACAGGGAATTCAGGACTGATAAATCCCTCAGGACCAATAATGAGAGTAGCAATACCAGAAGGGTAAGGGGATGTTTGGGGAAGAAAGAGCGAACTGACCTCAATGATCTACATATACCCCCACTCCCAGGGGAACTGACAACAGGAAAAGTGGGTGAAGGAAGACATTGGTCAGTGTGAGACATGAAAAAAAATTTTTTATAAATTATCCAGGGTTTGTGAGGGAGGGAGGGAAAAAATGAGGAGCTGATACCAAGGACTCAAGTAGGAAGAAAATATTTTGAAAATGATGATGGTAACAAATGTACAAATGTGCTTGACACAATGGATGGATGGATGGATTGTGATAGAGTTGTGCGAGCCCTCAATAAAATGATTTTTAAAAATACAATACTATGAAGGAATGCACCCCAACAAATATGGGAGGTACAGTTTGTATCAGAATAGGAAAGAAGGATGGAGGGGAGAGGAATGCCTGACTTCTGCCTCGTGGCAATAGCCCTTGGGCTGGAGAGGAACTGGATTCTCCTCCCTTGGGTCAAATATGGCCTCTGAGCCAGTTTCCTCACACACTCATGGTTATTGCAGCACTATTCACAATAGCAAGAAGACGGAAAGCACCTAAGTGCTCAATGGTGGAAGAATAGATAAACTTTGTTACCTATACACAACGAAATTCTGTGTATTGTTAAAAATGACGAACCTGTGAGACATCTCATGACATAAATGGATTTGGAAGATGTTATGCTGAGCCAATTTAGTCAAACACAAAAGGATAAATATTGCTTGAGCAGTTTGGCAACCACCAGAGCTACTTCACAGGAGAAAGACAAGACTTTCTACGCCTGGAAAGAATTACAGTCTTAGAAACCCACAGTGGGCAGTTCTACCTTGTCTTATATGGATTTGACTTGATAGCAGTTAGTTATTGTTTAAAAGAAATAAAGCTATTTGGATATGACTAAACTACTGAATTGTACGATATGTGGATTATGTGCCAATAAAACAGTTTTAAAATAAAACAACGCAATCAAGATAAAGGCTTTCATATCTGTAGAAACAGATTTTGATGGTTACCAGAGTTGGTCGATAGACACTGAAAAAGGAAGATCAAAGAAGAATCAATAGATCTGAATGACGGTGCTGGTGAAGAATATTAAAAGCACCATGGACTGCCAGAAGAACCAACAAATGTGTCTTGGAGAAGTACAGCCAGAATGCTCGTTAGACTGGCAAGACTTCCTCCTGAGTCATTCACGAGGAAAGGAAGGGGAAGCAATGAGCTCGAGGGGAGGCATGCGCTAACTTGTGTCATGGAGAAAATAATATACTCCAAGAGGGAAATCGGGGGAGGGAGGGAGGAGAAACAGGGTAAGTAAGGCACTGAGATGTCGATAAGCTGTTGTTTTAAGTTGTTGAATGGAAAAATGATGATCTGATACATAAGCTCTCACCTCGTTTACAATAAAGCTTGAAAAAAATAAATCCTCTGAAGTTTTAAAACCAAATAATAGTTTAGCTTGAGCTAATAAAATATGTCTGCCTTGAGCATTATGCTCTTGTTAAAACCATCTATATGGGATCCAACTGAGAACAGCAAGTCAAAAGATTATATAGGAACCAAAGGGGGCAGTCAGTTGATGATAATAGGGAGGAGTAATTCAGCAAAAAAGGATGAGAATGGTTGTACAACGTGAAGAATGCAATCACGTCACTGCATAGTACATGTGGAAATTGTTAAATTAGGGCCTGTTTTGCTGTGTATCTTCTCTTAAAAATAACATTACGAAGTGTATATGGAAACATAAATGTGGTTAATACAATGTAATTTTGTATTAGGATTTTAAAAATTATGTTCACTATCTTGGTAATTATATAGAAAACCAAAATCAATATATAGGTGGTCCCAGGTTGATGAACATGTTCCAGTCATAAGATTATCATTAGACTGAATTTGGATGTAAGTCAGAAAAGTTAAGTATGGTTTATATCTAAAGTTAAGCAGTTAAATGTTTGTCTAGGGAGGCTTCAAAAACTTCGTGGAACAATGGAAAAGATAATGGAATTTTCCCATGAACTTTTTGAAGCCCCCTTCCTTCATAAATATATAAAGTTGTTTCAGTTTTTAATATTTTCTTTATTTTCAATTGAGGCTATTCTGTTTTGCCTAGTCATTGTTGTTGGGTGCTGTTTGCTCCCAGTGTGTGCTTTCTATTCTTTTCTGTATATGCATCCCAGGATAGGTAAATCTAGAGAGAGAGTAATTGGATTAATAATTCTCGGCATGGCCAGGGAAGATAGAGGGAAAAGGGAAGCAAACAACAAGTAGGAGAAGAAAATGTTCTGAAATTGATTGTGATAATGATTGTACAACTCTTAATTTAACTGACAGATTAACCTGAGTATGTGATGTATATGCCACCAATAAAACTATTTTAAAATAGATAAGAAAATATTGCTTCTTAGAATGTTGCAATTCTATTGTAATAAGAAAAATTATTCTATGAGAAAGTAATCCTCAAATTCATTCAAATAGAACGCCTAGAATCCATTGTGGAAAATGGATTTTCCTTTTGGAAAATACCATAAAATTGTAACACACTTCTATCATATAAGAGTAGAACAGAAAATCATTATTGTATGTGTGTACATAATAAATGTACACATGTACATAATAAATGAATACATATAATATGAAAATCACAGGGAGCTTTGTGTGCTTTGGTTACTATTGTATTACCAGTGCCACGAGTGCCTATCATACAGTGCATACTCAATAAACATTTTAATGTACACAGAAACATAAATTATAACAATCAAATGAAACAATTACAATTATAACCATGAACTGGCTAAGTATTTCCTGATTTGTTTGTATTAATACATGTTTGCCACTTGTTCATTCACTTTATCATCTGTTACCAGTGGGAAAAGTTCAGGCTAACTGACTAGGGAAAAAACCAAATGTTTTATACATTTTAAAAACATTTTGTCCATTCATTCTTAGAGGGATGTGGAAAGCAAATACACACAACCCCACCAATATTTCATTTGAGGGTGTTCAGTGCTATTTAGGTAGTTCTGGTTTACAGCAATGCGAAGCAGAATGCTTCACAGGCCAACTCCAGGAGAATCCTATTAGGAACCCACTGCTGTAACATGGGTTTGGAATCAGAGAACACGGACAAAAGAGTTCAGGAACTTCCTATTTGAATCTAATCAAGATAACTATTTGTTGTTACCTTGAAATACATAGTTGATGTAAAGAAGAGCCGTGATAGGTGGTCAAAAATAAGTGGCTTCAACTCTAGGAATAAAAAAAATATTATAAATGCTTTTTAATATTTTAATAACTATTACATTATAGTAAATGATCTCAAATGTTCATGGTACATACCAGAGAAGTTACTAAAAGGAATCCAGCTCACAAGTTGAAGGAACTGTAACCGACAACAGTTGCCATCCCAAAGAGGAAGGCTCTTATACAGGAATACTTCGCAGGAATAAAAGCCCTCCTGTAACATAAGTCAAGAGTACTATCAGTTCCACATAAGGAACTCTCCATTCAGCTGCATTTTTGTTAAGAGTTTTTATACTCTTAGACCCCTTTTGGTCATAAATATAATAGAAGCCTTGAATTAGCTGCCAGATTTCCTCATCAGAAGGATCAAATGATTAATATCTGAATATACCACTTACATTTTTAACTCTAGTCCAAATATCTTTTGAGTTTAGACTCATTTATCTAGCTGTCAACTGGCTACCTTCTATTAAATACCTCACAGGCATCTCAAAATCAACATATTTTACTTCAAATTTATCTTTTTTTAAAATTTATCTTTTCTTCTAAAAGTTCTCCTCCTATATTCCCTTTCTCAGTGAAAGCCACCATGATCTGCCAGAGCAAGAAATCCAGATTCTTCACTTCATCCTCATTACTATGATCCACATCTAACTTCTAAATCAGTGGTTTTACACTAACTCCCTAAGATTTATTCAATTAACATGTATTAAACATTAGTTTTTATCACAGATACCAAACTGAGTAACTGTACTCCACATAGTTCCTGCCTTCCAGGAGCTCATAATGTGTGTAAAAAAAATGCTGAACATGCCATGCTAGAGGGAAGCCCGAGAACCATAGGAAGACACAGGACAGGTAATGAATCCAGACTGGGGGTGAGGAGTGAAAGTTTCTTGAAAGTATTGATACTGGAACTGCAGCTTGAAGTACAACTCAGGGTTACCCTGGGCAGAGTACAGTGGCTGGAACACATTTGTCCTTCAAAAACTGTTTGCCAACCTGGAATTCTGTGATGCTCACCCTTCTGCCATAATCGCTGGAGACAAAATAGGCGCATGAACAAATGTGGTGAAGGAAGAGGATGTTGCCCGGCTATCAAAGGATATAGCATCTGGGGTCTTAAAGGCTTGAAGTTAAACAAGTGGTCATCTAGTAGAGAAGCAACAAAGCCCACATGGAAGAAGTACACCAGCCTGCACAATCATGAGGCGTCACTGGGATCAGGTAACGGGTATCAGAAGACCCAAAGCAAACAAACAAACAAACAAACAAAAACATATTGTTGAGAACGAGGTGGGTTGGAGCAGAGATCCAAAGCCCATCTGTAGACAATAGGACAGCCTCTAACAGAGGGGTCACAAGGAAGTGATGAGTCAGTCAGGGTGCAGTAAAGCACGGATGAAACACACATTATTCCTCTGGTTCCTTCAGGCTTCCTCACCCCCCACTATCATGATCCAAGTACTGCCTTTTGCTGCAGGCTAGACTGGAGCACACGTACAGGTTTGGATTAAGACATAAGAGCTCATGACACACGGAATCCAGGGACAGGAATGGAAGTAGCAATACCAGGAGGGCAGGGAGTAGGTGGAGAGAGGAGGGGAGGAAGGGGGAACTGATCGTGATGACCGACACATAATCATGATGATTGACCGCATCCCCACTCCAGGGGGACGAACAACAGAAACAATTGGGGAAGGAAGACAGTGGTCGGTGTAAGATATGAAAATAATAATTTATAATTTATCACGGGGCCACAAGGGTGAGGGGGGATAGAGAGGAGCTGACACTAAGGGCTTAATAGAAAAGAATGATGGCAACATATGTATACATGTGCTTGATACAACTGATATATGGATTGTTACAGGAGCTGTAAGAGCCCTCGACAAAATGTTTTTTAAAAAATTGTTTGTGGAATATAAGAACACAAGTAGTGACACTACGAGATTTACTTCCCTGCTTTCTGCAACTAATTGAATGCATTCAATCGCATCTTTGGTTCATTTTCTACATTAGACATTGCTCCCTTGTTGTCACAATTTAATGAATTCTTTCCTCAAATCTAACAGTACAAATTACAAAGGAGATCTCAGCTCTGTTTCTAGTAAGTTTCAAATTGGGTAAATATGGTTTTAAAAAGATGCTGCAGCACTAATAAAAAGGCCTTTCCAATGGACATCTCAGTACATTTCAGTGCAGAATGTGGAGTGTGTTGGAAACAAATGGAATCTTACTTGTAGGAAGTGCTGTGCCCTGATGACAGAGTCCAGTATGCTGGTAAAATGTGTTTTATACTCCAATTTATTCAACTTGTACCAGAGACATTCTAGAGCAGAAATATTAAACACAAGCTGTTGGTTGGAAAGCCACACAAAGCATAATTACTAAGTCTAACATGAGAAATAACTGACGAATATAAACAAACTGTGAGCTTCATACATCATGAGTACCTCATATTGTAGATGGCTAACAGTTATGTGGGGTGAGCTGGTTGCTCAAGAACTTGGTAATAGAGGGGAAATGTTAAACTGAAAAAGTCAACAGGTAACGTTCACATATAATGCACGTGATTAGACTTTTGTCACATAATAACCCGAGATTATAAATATGTGAGCTAAAAGTTTAAGAATATTTTGCAACAACTAAAAGAAACAGGTTTGAGAATAGCTCAAATTTTAATTAGGATAAGCAAGCAAGCATGGTGTCATCTAAGAGTGGCAGGACTACACAGTATTAGAATCAAAAGTGGAAACGACTTTAAGAGCCAAGAGTTGTTTGTCCGGGGAAGATACATTACACCCGGTCAAGAGAAATACCATCTCTAGCAAAATCACCTTGGAGGAACTGGAGTGACATGCATGGCCTGGAAGAAAGCCCCACTGGCCCTTTCCTTTACTTCTATAATTAAGAAACCTCCTAGTGGCTAATTGGGTTCCTACATGTACCAATAGCAGAGACGGGATGTGCCACTTGCCAGACATGAAATATTTTGTCATCAGAAAAGAATAACTTCTATTACAAAACACCAAGTTAACATTCCGGCTCACGCAATAGCCTCTTTTGAGTTTGCTTAGCATTTGATGGACTTTAAACACAAAATAGGCAAGTTTTTGGACATACAAAGATGGAGAAGCCTTGAATGGTGACTAACATTAAAGTATGCCACCCAGTGAATAGTTTGGAGGTCAAAACACCAGCTGTCCTTTCTTGTTGTCCTTGAAAATTTCAATAAAGGATTCATGCTTAAATATAGGAAATAACTACAGCATATAAGCCTCCTCCTGTCTAGAAATTGCTGTCCTTATGATCTAAACTATCTTCTGCCTTTCTTATTCATCCAATGTTTTTAAAGGAGTAAATTCTTACCTTCTTGTAATGTTTGACTTAGCCAGTGATAGAATCTCAATGAGATGGACTCGTCTTTGACACAGTTGATATAGTGAAGGAGTAGAGAATTGTTGAGTATCGAGCCCAGCTGGCCAGGCAGCTGCAAAGACAGGATAAACGATCAATCATAAGCATATAAAATTTGAGTCAGAGCAACAAGGAAATCACTGTACAGGACCTACATGAGAAAAATGAATGCCAAACAGAAAATGTACATAGGCTTATGGCTGTCACATACCTCTAAGCAATGGATGTTTTTTAAGAGTTGAGGGAAGCTTTGAAGCTTTTCTATTGGAAATGCACAAATGTTACTGAGGAAATCAGGAAGGCTCATTTCTTTCTGTCCACATTCTTTGCCATAATTAGTGGACTTTGACTCCGGTATAATTGAGTCAGATTTACATTTCTAAAGAAAAGAGAAAATAATTCAGTTCACTAAACATATTATACATTAAAAATGCAGAAGGAATTATTAAGGTGGGTTAACTACACAGGTCTGAATATGATTTACATGAAATCCTGAATAATTAAAAAGTATTTAAATACCTAAACTATCCTCCAACATCCGAATGGCTTCCAATGAAAGAAGATGAGGAAAACTGTGGAGTGTTAAATACTCACTCGTTTTATAGGGCGAATTTTAGCTGAATGCAATGTCAGCTTCAAGGACACTGGAGACGGTTCCGTGTTTCTTTGCCTCACAGCATTCAGAGCCACCTGCCACAAACTTCCTGAATTCTTAAAACAGATCTATAAATTTAGATATAAAGTACATGAGAGGCACCCCAAAGTTAGAGAAACATAAATCTAAACTTTCCATTAACTGAAATACATCAACTATGAAAGATCTTACATCCACTCAAATACAACTAGAGTTTTTCCTTTCTGATTACAAATGTATACACTTTGGGCTCGATCTGGTTTTCAATATTTTCTTTGTGTTTTTTCGGTCATATTAGGGTTTATCTCTGATGGATTTTGTCATTGTGGGCAGTTTTCTCGAATCTTTGTTATATGTTTTTTTGCTTTTCAGTCTGTGAAACCCAGGATTGATGAACCTATAGAGACAGCAAGTAGAGTAAGGGTTCCTGGGAGGTACGGTGGGGGAGGGGGAGGGGGAAAGATAAAAGAACCCAAGAAGGAAGAAAATGTTTTGAAACTGATTGTGGTAGCAATTGTACAATACTGCTTGATGTAATTGAACTGTGGAATAGTATGCTGTCTGGATTAACTCCTAATAAAATGGTCAGTAAAAGAAAAAAATAGACACAGAAAAAAAATCAAACTGACTAAAATATGAAGATGAGTCTAAAAGTACTCCTACTTCTGCATTATCAGTGGGATGGCTGCAAACAAATCTTAGTGCCAGCAGAGTGCCTCCCAAAACTAAAAGGTCCAACCAAAACTGTGGCTGCTGGGGAGATCTACTGATCAGTTTATATTCAAGGCAGAGAAGTTGGCTCTGTTTATGGGACTGGGAGAATTTCAAGGGGGCAATCTTGAAAAATTTTCTCAGAGGACACAGAACAATCACAGAGGCAATTATTTGGAAAAAAGTTTTAAAATTGAAAATTGCCTTGGTGAGAAAAGTGCCAAGAACATTGCACTGAGGAAAGATTTCCCATCATGACAATATATCTGCTCTTTCTTCAAGCGCAGTAAGGATTGTCCTATGAAAATTTCATTGGTAAGCCTTATCCCATCCACCCTACAGACTTCTTTTTGCTCCTCAAACTCAAAGAACTTTGAAAATGTGGTATGTGAGTCTTTTGAGGATGCCCAAAACTACCATTTTGACTGGTGTAAATCAAAGAGTGCAGATGTCTTCAGGGAAAGGTTAGAGAGATGTATGTAACTGTCACCTTCAGAAGTAAATAGACTTAGATGGAGGATAGGCCAAGAAACAACAGCTTCACATTTTGATGTTTTTTTAAATGTAATACATGTGTCTATGACCTTAAAGCAATACTTTTTGACCCACCCTTACACATCAAATATAATTAAAACAAAATGCCAGTGACCCCTGCCAATACATTCCAACAATAGTAGAATAACTAGAACTTCAACTGACTGCCAATGAGTCAATTCCAAGTAACGTTCACAGGTCAGAAATGATACTGTAACTTTTTATGGAAGTAGAAAGCCTCATCTTTCTCCATCGGAGCAGCTGGTGGTTTCGAACTGCATATCTAACAGTTACTGGCCCAACACTTAACCACCATGCGACCAGGACTCCAAGTAGTACAATACTAGATCTTAAAATAGTACACAAAAAAATTCAGTCAAAATACATAAAAAATAATCTTATGAAAAATAACATCAATCTCAAGATGATTTCTGTCCTTACTTCCTTACCTTCTTCCTTGTAGGCAAAGAGACAGAAATCAAATTAGGAGCATATAATTTATACAAAGACAGCAAAGCTTGGAGATGAGGCTGCATGCCCTGAAATAAAATAAGAATTTTCAATTCATACTCATTAGAAACTGGCTGGGAGGGGAGGAAGAGAAGCATGAAAAAAAATGTAATTAAAAAACAAACTGAAACTACACATACATTCAGACTCTAATTTTACTATAAAATATTGCTATAGGAAGGTACTTTCTAAAAATCAAAGAATGAATAACCTGACCTTTAAATCAACCACAGTAAAACAAATTCTTCAACCTACAACCTTTCTTTTCTTTTAATCTTATGGTAGTAAAATATACTTAACAAAAATTTTGCGATTTTAACCACTTTAAGTGTACAGTTCAGTGACATTAATTACATTCATCATGTTAGAATTCTTACAACCTCTTTTATGACCTTTTGCCTGTGTTACTTCTCCCTTGTATTTTCTCTCTTCTCTTGCTAGTTTAATCTTCTCTGCCATGTCAAAAGCTTACCAGTCTAGCTAACACAGCGTACTCTCACTGTGGGGGTACTCGGGACTCAAAGAGTTGCTTGCAAAATAGGACTGAACTGTTGTGATCTATAGGTTTTACATGGCTGGTTTTCTGAAGTTGATTATCAGGCCTTTCTTCCTAGTCCAAAAACATCACTAACGTCTATCCATCATCATAGAGACACACAACCTCCACGGACGGATGGATGGTGGGTATGCTTCAGGTATGCTGGCTAGGAATCAAGGCTAGGTTTCCTTACCTTGAAAGTGAGAATTCTACCATTGAACCACCCCTGGCTTCCGAATGTGTTGTTACTGTTTACCATCAAGTTGACTGACTCACAGTGACTCTGTAGACCCGCCCCATAGATTTTCCAAGACTGTCACCTTTATAGAAGCCGACGGCCTCATCTTTCTCTTCCATAGTAGCTAGTTGGTTCAAACCACTAAACTTTCCGTGGTTAGTAAATGTGAATGTAACTACTGTATCACTGAACTTTTAATTATTAACAGCTAAGAACTTAACTACTATACCATCATCCTTTCAAAGAGTTAATTCGTCTTTAATTTAGCCATCAAGGGTTAAGACAAATGGGGAGGGGCAAGAAAACAAGGCAAAGGAAATATTCAGATCTGATTATCATTAGTCCTGGGAAATTTACTAGAAAAATCTGACAAATGGCATGATGCAGTACAGTGTCAAGTAGCTTTATGTAAATGAAATAAGGTTTATCAAAACAATAGTTTTACGGTGAAAGATGCCATTCACTGCTGTGTTTGCTACATCTGGCTGTGCAGATAAGTCTTACACCATCCAATATATCCATTCACACACAATTCTGTTGTTCCTAAGTTGCTTCAATATATGAAAACTGTTTAAACAAATACAGTATGAAATAAGGATGGCAACAAATGGGAATCACATGTCCACTATCACAGTATCCCACAGAATATTTTAGTGCCCTGAAAATCTCAGGCGCTCCACCTTCTCATCTCCTCCTTCATTCTGAGCAGCCAGGATTTCTGAAGCTAGTCCTGTTTGCCATACCAATTCTATCAAACCAGTCCAAAGAAATGCCAGCTCCCAGCCCTGGCCAGACCAGACCCCCAACTGTTAACACAAAGCCCTTTCTCATCCATCCCCATTTACCCAGGGATAGGTCAACAGATATAGGCCTTTACTCCGATACTTAGGTACCATAAGTCACTGTAAGGATTTACAAACTATAGGGACAGGGCTATCTTTAGCAGAAAACGGGATACAAACACAAACACGCGGTTGCATATCTTAAATTGCAAGTATTGTTTTCTCCACATCCAAAGGGGAAGAAATTGGAAAATACATGTCAATGAGTAGTTCAGTGGACTAACAGACCATGTAAACATCAGTCTTCACAGTCCTGAGACCAGAAGAAGATGGGGTCAGGCCACCACTACCAATTGCTCTAAAAAGGATCGATCACCTTTGAAGGTGCAAGTTCGACTGGGAGAAAAATGTGGAGCAAAACTCAAAATCATGCAAGAGACAAGGCTTACTGATTAAACTGAGACTGGTAGAAGCTCTGAGACTATGGTCTCTTGGTTATCCTTCAGGTCTGGAAGTGAACTCGTCTCTGTGGCTCAACTTTCTGTCAAACAGGGGATATGTCTATCAGGGGAACGGTCATGCTAATGAACACACAGAAAACCTTAGAATATGCAACCATCTGAGTTCAAAAGGACAGCACTTACCCACGGACAAAGTTCAGAAAATTAAGAAAGGAGGAGGAATGAAAATAGGAAACACAGGCAGGAGGTGGGACTACGTGGTATTACACTGAGGGGATTGAAATGGATGAAACAGAATGTACGTGCACTGCTAAATATAAAACTGATACCTGAGCAGTGACCCTCACCTAATTCACATCGTATCATCACTTAGCCCACATTCTCTCTGTGTCCTGTTTCCAATCCTCCTTCTTCCCTAACCCTCTGAATTTTGTTCTTGGGTAAATGCTATTCTTTTTTATCTCAAATGGTTAATTATTCTAAGAGCTGCTAGACCCTGACCATTTCTGATACCAATTTGCGAACTATTAGTTTCCCTAAGAAACCCCGTAATCATGAGTATTATATTGTCTGTGAGTTCTATGTGGTCGTTGCAAGGGAATATCAAACGCAGCAGAGAAGAGCAGTGCCATGGAAGGGAATATTGGTGTTGGGATAGGGTAAACGAAGGTTGGAGGATAAAGGAATGTCTCACCCTCACGTTAAAAGAATAAACTATTTAAAATGAAAAGCGCAGCATTTACCCAAGGACAACTTTCAGAACGCTATATAAAAAAAGAAGGAATGGAAACAGAAAGCAGGGAAGAAATGAGTAAATGAAAATACATGGAGAAAATTACAGTAGATGAGTTGAAATAATGTGTATGGATTATTGAATGTAAAATGATCTGCTATATAAACCACTTAATTGAAAGTTAAAAAAGAAAAGGTCCTTAAATCAAAGTATCTATTACAAACAAAACAAACAGCTAGTACTGTACTCAATGGAGAAAGACCAAGAATCCTCTTGAGAACAAGAGCAAGACAAGGATGCCCTCTTATCATTCATTCACTGTTATACTGGAAGTCCAAGCTAGAGCAATGAGGCATGAAAAAGAAAAGGTATCCAAATTAGGGGGAAAAGCAGTATTTACAAATGACATGATCCTATATGTAGAAAGTCCCAAAGACTCCACATGAAAGTCTGTAGACTTAATAGTTGAAATCAGCCCAGTTTTGGTGTAAAAGATCAAGACAAACAAAACAAAACAAAGAAACAGCTGGACCAAAGTCCAACGTGGGTGCCTAATGAACGGAGGCCCAGGACCACCATATATTTACTATTTTAATGCCATCCCTGCTTTCTTATGACATATATTAGGCTGGAAGACACGCTTTTGCCTTTGTGAATGAGTGTTATTGAAAGTTTTGCCCTAACACCAACCGAATTTTTGGTAAACTAGTACCATGGATGCCCACAGAACCAAAAAGTCTGTCTTAGAAGTACAGCCAGAATGCTCCTTAGAAGCAAGGATGGCGAGACTTTGTCTCATGTACTTTGGACATGTTGTCAGGAGAGATAATTTCACAAGGAAGGACATCATGTTTGGTAAAGCAGAGAGTCAGCAAAATAATAAAGGAAGCCCCAGAACCAGATGGCTGCAACAATGGGCTCAAACATAAGAACTGTGAGGATGGTGCAGGACTGGACAGTGTTCCGTTCTGTTGTGCATAGGGGGGTTGCTAGGAGTCAGAACCAACGACACCTAGTAACCACAACATGGCCTCAAGATTTCATGGACACAACCAGTGAGACTGGCAGGAGCTTTGAATCCATTGTCCTGCTTTAATCTTAAGCACTGAACAAAAGCTATCCCTGTAAGTCATCTTTAACACTAGGTTTACAGGATGCGTCGTCTTGATATTTCAATTTCTTCAATGAAAATCACAGAAATCATTTACATTTACCTCCTACCATTTATGCTGACGTTTATCCATTGAACGAGATAAATATATGTGCAAATGTATTTTGTTTTAAGCCTTCTAATCTAGAAAGTCTCTGTATGGTATGTATACCTACCTCTACAGAAACACAGCACTTTGATGTGAACGTGAAATGAATATTAATCCCAATAAATAGGCTTTACTCATGAAAGCATCATTGCAATAATAAATATAAACATAGTCAAGAAGTTCTTAGAAAGTCAACATCAAAAGTAAAGACAAGTAATATAGCTGAGCTTGTCATACTGATGGACCCAAGCGACCTTGATGACACGCCAAAGCCAATATCTTAAATATTGTATAATGTTAAATATTATACATTTTATAGAAATATACAGTATTACATAGTTTCATTTATAATTGAGTAGTGTATAACTATGTTGTTTGTAAATAAAATAGGTTATTTTCTCAAGAAAATGTGTGCTTTCTATCACGTGTCAATTTGATGCATGTCCATAGAGATAGGTACATAAGAAATGTACTTAAACCTAGTGTTAAATCCAAGAACAACTTAGACCAATTGTCAAAAAACATTTCCCTGAATACTGCATTCTTTTAAAGAACTATCCATAAGATCAAATTAACAACAGTAACTCTAAATCCCAGTGAGAACTTTAGCGGGTGGTACATCTGAATTAATGGAAGTTAAATAATTTGGATGGAGACAGAATGAGGATACAATATGAAGAATGTAACCAATATCACTGAATTAGACATACAGAAAATGTGGACTGTATTTTCTGTGTATAGATTTTCAGCAACACTGTTTTAAAATTTAAAAATGCTTTTGCTTCATTGGAAATAATCAAGAAAGAGAAAAGATAAAACAGAGACTGAGGATGTAAAATGGTACACGCTGCTGTGAAAAAGTTTTGCAGTTGGTCAAAAATCTAAATCAAATACTATGTATAACTAAAGAATCATGAAGAAACGGAAATACCTCAGGATACAGATGATTTGGGGGACATTATTCTGACGGATGCCAGTCAGTAACGAAAGGACAAATATTAAGTGAGACCATTGCTGT